GGCGCGCCCCATGCCCGTGTGTGGCCATGTCCTACCCGCAGGGCTACTTGTACCAGCCGTCCGCCTCGCTGGCGCTCTACTCTTGCCCGGCATACAGCACCAGCGTCATTTCGGGGCCCCGCACGGATGAGCTCGGCCGCTCGTCTTCGGGCTCCGCGTTCTCGCCCTACGCTGGCTCTACTGCCTTCACGGCGCCCTCGCCGGGCTACAACTCGCACCTCCAATACGGCGCTGACCCGGCCGCCGCCGCCGCCGCCGCCTTCTCCTCGTACGTGGTGAGTGAGCGGGATCCGCAGCGGGAGAGGGCAGCCGGGGCTGCCCAGGCAGGAGGGGGCTGCGGGGGGACACTGGCCTAGGCGCCACTGCCGACCACCCCTGCCCAGCTTCGCGGCCCCTGCAAACTTGGGCGATGGTCTCTCTAGGCTCCTTCAGGGCCTCAGGCTCTAGAGAGTTGCTGAGAAAAGAGCCGCGTCTTGCTGGGATCGCTGAGCTGGCGGAAAGGGTTTTGGGGGGAGAGGTCGCTGCAATTAAAGAGCAGCATTTAGTTCAATCTTAAACCCCGGGCCACCCGGCCAATTTTATTGTTTTTTTGTTTTTAACATTTTTGGAAAAGTAGTTTAAGAGAAATAGACCCGATATCTGAGTAGAAGAGTGCTAAGTCTATGTAAATGTGTTTGGCCTCGCCTTTAATTAGTCCTCCAAAATGTTGCAAATCCGTAATCCTATCTTCGCAATCCGATTTGGAGGTATTAAATTTCTGAAAAGTCGGCCGAGCTGCGGTGCATCCGGGATTTTTCGGCCGGGTGCACTTTCTGGAAAAGCGCGGTGGCTTCGGTTTAGGGTAGCGTCTTTTCGGAGTGGGAGTGTCTGGACAAGGCTCAGTGTTTCGTTTGCGTTTCTTTGCAGATTAAGAAAAATAAATGTCTTGACTTTCCTTGTTCTCCCTTCTGGCGTCCAACGTACAGTTGCTGGGGCGCGGAGCTCGGGGTCGCCGCTGCTGCCCAGGCCTCTGTATTAACTGAGGTCCGGGCCGCGGTAGTTCCATCTGCCCACCGGGGACTGACGTCTCCGGGCAGATGGGAGCCTGTACGGTGGCGCCAAGGCTCAGGGGCTCCCTAAGGGCCAGACTCAGGAATTGGGGGCCCCAGCTACCTTTGGAGTAGGGGGAGGGGTTGATCTTGTGTCGGAACCCGCCAGACCTGCCCAAAGGGGAGTGGGACTACGGGCCTCTCACCCTCCAGCAGACCCTAGGGCGCACGGAAAATGTGCTTAGGTCGTTCAGGTGACAGTGGAAACCGTGGCCCACATTTCACCTTTCTCTGCCTCTCCCCCGCAGGGCTCTCCCTACGACCACACACCCGGCATGGCAGGCTCCTTGGGGTACCACCCCTACGCGGCGCCTCTGGGTTCCTACCCGTATGGGGACCCCGCGTACCGGAAGAACGCCACCCGGGATGCCACCGCGACGCTCAAGGCCTGGCTCAACGAGCACCGTAAAAACCCCTACCCCACTAAGGGCGAGAAGATCATGCTGGCCATCATCACCAAGATGACCCTCACCCAGGTGTCCACCTGGTTCGCCAACGCGCGCCGGCGCCTCAAGAAGGAGAACAAAATGACATGGACCCCACGGAACCGCAGTGAGGACGAGGAGGAGGAAGAGAACATTGACCTAGAGAAGAACGACGAGGACGAGCCCCAGAAGCCCGAGGACAAGGGAGACCCCGAGGGCCCTGAAGCAGGTTGGTGGACGCGGGAAAGGGTGTGTTAAGGGACTAAGAAGGAAAAGAGGGGCCTGGAGGGGGCGCGCACGGGGCCTGGATGTCGGGCGCAGGGGTCTGGCTGCCTTTGAGGGCGGGAACCTGCGCCCCGAGGCAGGGCCTCGGTGCCTACCGCATGGGTTTCGTCCGCAGGAGGAGCAGAACCGAAGGCGGCTGCGGGCT